GATACTGATTTCAACTCTTATGAATGAATACCCAGAAGTGGGATTGCTGGATTGTATGTATGGTAGTTCTATTTTTAATTTTTTGAGTAGCTTCCATACTGTTTTCTGTAGTGGCTGCACCATCCATTTCACTTTACCACCAACAGTGCACAAGGTTTCCAATGTCTGCACATCTTTCCCAATGCCCTTTTTTTTAGAATTGAATTTTTACAGCAGTTTTAGGTTCACTTGAGAGGAATTGAGAGGAAGGTACATAAATTTCTTATTTACTCCTCGCCCACCCCCACATGTATAGCTTGCTCCATTATCAACATTCAGTACATTATAATTGTGAACCTACATTGACACATTATAATCACCCAAAGTTCATAGTTTACCTTTTACTTCACTGTTAATGTTGTATATTCTGTGGGTTTGGACAAATGTCTAATGATGTGTATCCATCATTATAGTATCGGAGTATTTTCACTGCCCTAAAAATCCTCTGTGTTCTACCTATTCATCCCTTCTCCTACCTGCACCTCCTGGCAACCACTCATCTTTTTACTGTCTCCATAGTTTTGCCTCAGCCAGAATGCCATGTAGTTGAAAACAAAATATGTAGCCTTTTCAGGTTGGCTTTTTTCACTTAGTAATATGCGTTTGAGATTTCTCCATGTCTTTTCATGACTTGATAGCTCTTGTCTGTTTGGTGCTGAATAATATTGCATTGTGTGGATGTACCAGTTTGTTTATCTAATCACCTACTGGACTTCTTTGTTATTTTCAAATTTTGGCAGTTATGTATGAAGCCACTTTAACGATTGGTGTGCAGGATTTTCTGTAGACAAAAGTTTTCACCTCCTTTGGGTAAATACCAAGGAGTGGGATTGCCACATCCTAAAGTAGAGTATGTTTAGTTTAAGAAACCACCAAAATGTTTTCCAATGTGGCTATACCACTTTCATTCCCTCTAGCAATAATTGAGAGTTCCTGTTGCACCACATCCTCACCAGCATTTGGTCTTGACAGTGTTCCAGTTTTGGCCATTCTACTAAGTGTATAGTGGTGTCTCGTTTTAATTTACATTTCCCTAATGACATGTGGAGCATCTTTTCATATGCTTATTTGCCATTTGTGTATTGATTAGGTGTCAAGGGCTTTGTCCATTTTTAAATTGGTTTGTCTTACTGTTGAGTTTTAAGGGTTCCTTTTATATTTTGACGAACAGTCCTTTAGTATGTGTTGTTACTGTTTTTTTAAAAAAAAATTTATAATGGCCATCCTTGCAAATGTGAAGTGATAAGTTATTGTGGTTTTGATTTGCATTTCTTTGATGTGGTGATGAACATCTTTTCTTATACCTATTGGCCATTAGTATGTCTTTGGATAAATGTTTAGTCAAATCCTTTGCCAAATTTTTAATGTTTTTTTCTTGCTATTGAGTTGTAGATGTTCCTCATAAAATTGGATATCAACACCTGATCAGATGTATAGTTTGCAAATATTTTCTTCCATTCCATAGGTTGCCTTTTCATTCTGTTGCTGTGCACACAATTTTTAGTTTGATGTCCCACTTGTCTGTTTTTGCTTTTGTTGCATCTGCTTTTGGTGTCATAACCAAGAAGTCAGTGACTAGACAAGCGTCGTGAACCTTTCTTCTTGTGCTTTTTTCCTAGGCATACAGTTTCAGGTCTTATGTTGATGTATTTAATCCATTTTGAGTTGATTTTTGTGTATGACATAAGTGTCCAATTTCATTCTTTTGCATGTGACTGTCCATAATGCTCTCGAAACTCTCTAGTGAATTTTTCAGTTCAGTTATTAACATTCTTTAGCTCCAAAATTTGTTTCATTCTTATGTGTGTGTGTGTATGTGTGTGTGTGTGTGTGTGTGTGTGTGCTGTTGAAATTCTCATTTTGTTCATGTATCATTTTTCTGAGCTTGTTGAGCATCTTTATGATGATTAATTAAAATTCTTTATCAGATAATTCATATACCTCTATCTTTAGAGTCAGTTTCTTCAGACCTATTATGTTCCTTTTATTGGGTCGTTTCCCCTTTTTCTATTATGTTCCTTGTAATTTTTTGTTGGTATCATTGCATTTGAAAAAAAACTCCTCTCTTCCAGTCTTTACGTACTGGCTGAGTACAGAGAAAGGCCTTTACTAGTCAGCCTGGCTGTAGATTGTGGGGACTTCCCCAACCTTTTCTCTGGGTCTGTCTTCTCTGTACCTGTATATGTAGATTCCAAATCAGAGGGATTTTCCAGTTTTTTCTTCCTGCCCTAGAGGCTTCTACTCTCTTGCATCTTCTGTACCATGGGTCCTGTGAAATACCACACCACCCAGCTCTTTTTTGTTCCTAGATGGCCCCCAGATAGCTAGAGTATGCCAGGTACTGTTAGCGCCCTAAGTCAGGCTAGATAAGAAACCAGCCCCACAGGCAGTCCCACAGAAAACTGAAATGTTGGACACAGCCACCAGTCTTCCCTTTCTCCCATGAGGGAGAAGTTGCTGAGCTGTATTGGTCTGTTTGTTGTCCCGTGGGTTCTCTGGATCTGTAGTTAACCACCCAGCTCCTTTTTTAGTTCTCAGTAGGCCCCAGGCACCTAGGGTGTGCCAGTTCTTGTCTGTGCTCTGAGAAGTGGAGAAAGAAGCTAGTCCCTCAGCCAGGCCCCGCACTCCCCTCCCCTCCCTGCCAAGTAAGGATGTTAGATGTAAAGTACAGTCTTCTTTCCATCCCCAGGAGAATTTCAGAGGCCAGTTTTCTTCCAGTTGTGTGGTGCTGTGCTGGACAAGGGACTATGGTGAAAGGGTGTCATGAATTTTCCTACTATCTTTGATGCAGCTGGTTTAGTAGCACCTGGGGTGCAGGAGCCTCTTAACTGATTTCTGAGTTCTCATAAAGGGAATTGGTATGGGTATTGTTGAACTGGTGTTTCTGAGGGAGGAAGGAAGACCTGGGGCTTCCTGTTCTGCCATCTTGCTGATGTCACTTCCATCAAGGACATTCTTAAGTGAAGTTGGCTTTTTTTGTGAATGGTCATGAAAAATAAAATGAAACAGTCTGCATCGTACCTGAGACTGGCTTTAATTCTCTGATTTCTTTATCATAAAGAATCAATGAAACAGTTTGGAGCTACTGCCCTCATACATTCTAAGGTGTCTGGAGTCCTGCCTTCCTTTGTTTTTGAACAATTAGTATAAATGTAAATACACCAAAAAAGGAAAATGAAGTCTTGGTATTATAGATACAGTTTTGACCTCACAGAACTCCAGGAACTGTCTCTGGATCAGGCAGTTTGTGAAGCACACTGAACTACAGTTTTTCTAAGTCTCTTAAAAAGAATAGTGAATGGATATTGAATTTTATCAAGTGTTTTTATGCATCTATGAAACTATCATGTAATTTTAAAAACTCTGTTTAATGTGATGAATTAATTAGAACAAATATTTGGGATAAACCTGCATTAGTCTTGATGTATTTCAATATTATTTTTCCATTTATATATTATCTCTCTCTACTTAATACTACATGTTTAAATACCACAAAACACTATTATTATTATTGAAGTTAATATTCACTTAGAATTATCCATGTACTTGCCACTTTTTTCCTCATCATTTCTTGCTGCAACTGTAAGGTTCTATCTGGGATCATTTTTATCCTGTCTAAAGAATCTCCTTAAGCATTTCCTCTAGTGTGTGAACTCAGTTACTGTTTGTGTGAAGTTCAGTCTTTACTTTGCCTACCCTTAGAATTGTGTTTTTTGGGTACAGAATTTTAGGTTGGCGGATACTTCATTTTAGCACCTTGAATGCATCTTTAATAATCTTGCATTCAGTGTTCTTGTTGAGAAGTCATGTAGATATTGTCTTTTTTTTCCATAGGTGATTAAATGATTTTGTCTTTTTCTTACCATAGATAAGACAAGTTTTACAATGACATGTCCAGATGTGGATTTCACTTCAGTTCTGGAAAACTGAATTTTAATTATTAGCTTTTAATTTCTTCAAATATTGCTTTTGCCCTGATTTCTCTCTTCTTTCTAGAATTCCTTTTAAGTATACCTCTTCACTGTATCCTGTATATCTTTCTTTACTTTACTTACTCTTAATGAGGAAGTATTAAAAATACAAGTATTTTTTTTCAGATTTTCAGTTTTTGTTTTTAAACTTTATTATTGAAAAAAATTTCTAAACATATGAGCAAGTAGGATGGTATATCCCCCATGAAATCATCAACCAGCTTTAATAGTTATCAACTGCTAGTTTCATCTGTAACCCCACCACCCATTTTCCCATTCTACTGAGGTAAATATTTCATCTGTAAGTATTTCAGCATCTCTCTTTTAAAGATAAAGAGTATAAAATATTCTAATTGATGCATAAATATAAATTTTAAAAATACTTGGTTGAAACAGGATCCAAGTAAGGATCCATACATCGTGATTGATACATCCCTTAAGCCTTTTTTACCCTAAAGATTCCCCACTATCTTCTATTTTTCCTTGCAATGTATTTGTTGAAGAGATTGGGTTATTGTCCCATAGAGTTTCCCATATTCTGAATTTAGGTTCATGCCTTTTTTAAAAAAAGACAACTTCACAGGTGGGTGGTTCTTTCATTAGGATCACGATGCGCTAATGTCAGACTGTCTCTTATGATGTGAACAGCCATTGCTAGATGCCTGTGTGGATTCTTCAATTTTTAGGGATTTAAAATGATGATGTTCTAGTTCTAGCATTTTTTATTAGCTCAAATACTTCAATACAGAGACATTTCTTATCAACTGTTGGTTCATATATGAAAGGCAGAGTAAGTACTTGCTTTTTATTTACCAGTTTTCAAAATAATCAATTGATTCACTAGTGTCCTTCAGTTCTGACCAGTTAGGATTTGTTTTATTATGGATTTAACATATATATTTCCAGATATTTTTAGTTGATATGACTTGCTCCTTAAAGAAATCTGTGGTAGTATTGAAATTAATAAATATTATTTCTGGTTTATTCTAGTTTGCATTTATGCCGTGTCCTGAGTGAAAATAAAAGCCATGATTGTTCATCTTATAGAGGTAAGACTTTCAAAAGTATCAAAGCTGTTATGTTTGGCTTGGCCAAAATTAATAAATATTGTTTTCCATTAAATTGTTGCAAATGAAAACAAAGCTATAAGATAGTTCACACTATATAAAGCTTTTATATGAATATATTACAGTTAGGATTAAAACCATAAGACTATATATCTCTATATGGATGTTATTAACCTGCAAAATAGTCATAATGATATTGCTTGACTTTATAATTATGACATGGAATATTTGGCTACATTTCAACAGTTGTTTGCTGTATTAAAAATTATATAAACTAGCTATCAGTCATAAACAGAAGAGAAAAGCTAGCATGGAAAGAAAAACTGTTTTGATATTGTTTGTGCTAGGAAATTTCCAGAAACTAAGGTTCAGTGTTTTTACTAAAGCTGATTATGTTTAGGTGGTATCTGGGGAGTTAAAGGCAGTTGTCATGGAAAACATTAAAAGCAAAGGAATTTGTTATGCACATCACAAATACGGTTTATTAAGTAAAATGTTATGTAATTAACTAGGATGTGAATTTTAATTTTAAAGGACTTTACTATTTAACACTCATTAATTTAAAATTAGGCATTTAAGAAATTTAGATTTAGAAAAGGAGGGGCAAAAACAAAACAATTATGTCCATTATGTTTAAAGAATTTTCCTGTGTAGCTTTCATTGTGGGTGGGACCCATGACATTTTTTCAATCTGGAAAAAATGTTTTATAACCAATATTCTATTTTAAATAAAAATTATTGGATAAAATTCATTTTATTTAAATTATGCTTTTGTGAATAGATGATTAAGAATAGAATATATTTCTATAGAAGTTGTTACTTTAATCAAAATATTACCTTGCTGAAATATATGAAAGTACATACTTTTTAAAGAATATTTGAATTTTTGAATGGAAAGCATTCAAATGGGAAAAATTCAAACAAATAAATGAGCCTTTTTTTCCCTGTCATTTGAGTAAGATCTGTTGTAAGATTTAACATTTGTAAGCCCACATTTCCAAAGTTATTTTCCAGTTAGTCCTGCTTATAAAATTGTAAGATCGTTCATAAGGATTCTGAGGTTGATAAAATGCCTTCTTTTTGAATAAATCAGTTGACTTCCAGAAGTATAAGAATGTAAAAAAAAAACTCCTTCCTAAAAGCACTGGGATACTTAGTATTTTTCTTTTCTGTGCTTGATACAAGTGTGTGACTTCTTGTTTACAATTGAAATCTTAAGTGGATAAAATAAGAACTCTCAGAAGAACTATGCATAATATAACCTAGAGGATTACTCTTTTAGTTTTAAATGGGACTGGGTGGATCTTCTATCAGATCTAACTATCATATTATTGTTACTTTTTGCATGTTTGTTCCGATTCACATATGAAATGAAAAGTAGTTGAGTGCGGCCTCATTGGCTGGATTGCCAGTGCTCTCTTGCTGGCCCTTGTCGGCCTTCAACACGTTACAGCTCTGGCTGATTGCTCCACCAATCAAGCTTTGGTCTGAGGGCCCCAGTTGGTAGTCCATGCTGGAAATTGCATGTCATTTCTTAAGAATTTCTTTTGTTCTATCTCGGGGATTGAATTTGGATACGGTTCTCTCTACCCTTTCCCTTTCTGCTCCTCTCAATTGATTTCATTTCATTTCAGGCAGGCAGTTTACCTTGCACACGCTACTTTCCTTGTTTTTTTGTACATCCCTCTTCCCAGTAAAATAACATTGTAATGATAGGTGATAAACCAGGGTAATCCTAGTGATATTCAACATAACAAAGAACTGTTATCTTCAATATTCAAATCCCACAAAGCACTTCTAAGAATGTCTAGAAGTGTTTTTTTTTACTTGTGGCTGTTCTTAAAACTGCTTTTTCTGAAATGTTAGCGTTAATATAAAATCTTTTGTTTATTTTTTTCTGTATAAGAGCTTTAAATTTTCCACTCCATTGTAACTGCAAAGTTTTTCAACTTTAGTGTAGATTTTTTCAGGATTTTGTGGAGCTAGCCATGGTAGTCTCCAGGTACCATTTACTATTTCTATGGACAAAATACAGTAGGAGAGTGAGAGGATTAAAGATGGTGGCGTGAGAGGAAAGACAGAGGCTTCCTCCTAAAACTGGATATAACAAGAAAATATAGTTGGTGCAACTAATCCTGAGAGTGCAACAGGAAAGAGGCTCGCGCCAGACTGCATACACCTGGAGAAAAGAGCAGACCTCGCCGAATGGGGTAACGTACTAGAGCTGTGGCTCAGCAGGACCCGAGCCCTTCCCTCACCCCAGCTCACTAGTGGGAAGAAGAAAAACGGAGCAGGGAGGGAGTGGAAGACGTGTGACTGCTGAATACCAAGCTCCGGAGATCTGCTCTGGGAGCACAAACCTACATTTCATGGTGTTTTCATCATACTCTTCTGATTACAGGGTTGGAAAGCTGGGACAGGAGAGTTCCTGGGGAGATAGGGATTCTGGCCGCTTGTGGAAAGCAGGGATCCATATCCGGCTGCTCTGGGAAAAAAGCGTATCTCTGTGCTTGGCCCACTGGTTCAGACAGTGGAGATAGGCACAGCAGCCAGGAAGTGGGGAACAGCTCTTTCCTCCACCCAGGCAGCAATACCACTCCCCTGCGACCTCTCACATTGCTTCAGGGGCTGAGCAGCTCCAGAATAGAGCTTCTGGGCATTAGAGCATGCCATGTACCATATGAAATGCCAAAGAAACATGGTCCAGAGTAAAATTTCTAATACAGCTCCTGAGAAAGATTTAAATGATACGGACCTCGTGACTTTTCCTGAAAGGGAGTTCAAAATAAAAATAATCAACATCCTAATGGAGGTACAGAAAGACATCTAAGAAGTCAGGAATTAATTCAGGTTGGAGATCCACTCATTGAAGAGCACGATGGAGGGTATTAAAAGCAGTTTGGATACGGTGGAGGGGACAATAAATGAAATAGAAACTAGAGAAGAGGAACACAAAGAAGCTGAAGCACAGAGAGTAAAAAGGATCTCTGAGAATGAAATAAATTGCGAGAATTGTGTGACCAATCCAAACGGTACAATATTCACATTATAGGGATACCAGAAGAAGAAGAAGAGAGAGAGAAAGGGATAGAAAGTGTCTTTGAGGAGGTAGTTGCTGAAAACTTCCCCAGTCAGGGGAAGGAGATAGTCTCTCAGGCCATGGAGATCCACAGATCTCCTAACACAAGGGACCCAAGGAAGACAACACCAAGACACATAGTTATTAAAATGGAAAAGATCAAGGATAAGGAAAAATAGTTAAAAGCAGCCAGAGACAGAAATAAGATCACAGACAAAGGAAAGCCCATCAGGCTAACATCAGACTTCTCAGCAGAAACCTTACAGGCCAGAAGGAAGTGGCATGATGTACTTAATGCCATGAAGCAGCAGGGCCTGGAACCAAGATTACTTTATCTGGCAAGATTATCATTTAAATTTGAAGGAGG